AAATTTCCTCTCTAAGCAGCCTTGAGCTGGTGCCAGAAAGTCAAATCAAATATCCTTGGATGGTTTAACAAAAGTCCAGACTTTGCAGTGTAGCAGTCAAGATGCAAAGCAGTACATTGGACAAATGTGCTGTTGCTGGTTGTTCAGGTGATAAACAGTCTTTATGGCCTTCTTCCAGCTGGCCACCTCACCCAACCGCCAGTAAAGCCTCTTAGATGGCTATGCACAAAGAAGTGGAGTTACATCCTCTTACTAATTAAAAAAGCATAACTTGGAAGAACAGTCACAATTTTTTTATCCAATTGAAGGTTACATAAAAACCTACTTAGTCCTCATATTTCTACATAGTCTTGCTTAGCCAGCCCATTCTGTTCTGCTGCATCACCATCATTCTGCCATAGAGGAATGAAATGCTCTGGTCGTGGGCGGGACTAAGCAAAGGATGCAGTTTAGGTGTTCCCTCAAAATAGTGAAACTGTTGTGGTGGAACAATTGCGTGCGTTAAGACGAGGATGTGTGATTGAACCACTGCAAAAACAAAAAAAAGTTTCATTTTCAACGCAGCAGGTTGCTGCCCAGAGCTTGTTTTTTTTCTTTCCTGTGGTGAACAACACTGTAACATGTTAGGCCCACGGTCTAGGAGAACCTTTGACACAACATGAATTTGTGCTCCGTCAATCTTCTCACTCCAAGAAAGGCCACCAACATCAGTAAGCCAAGCTCACAGTGAGCAGCTTTTATTTACTTCAGGAGGAGACATGAGCCAACATAACAAACTAAAGTACTCTATATTAACCCTAACTTCCCTAAACAAACGAAAAGATAAATAAATGACAAATTTTTAACCTACCTCCCATAATAATCAAGAAACAGAAGACAAAGGGTTAAAAGAAAAAGGCCTTCCCCCTCCTACTACTGCTCTGCTATCATTTACAAGTATTTACTGTTTATCTACAAATCTCCACATCATACAAACGATCTGATCACGACTGTTACATCTTTCTACAACACCAAGCAACAACAATGTGACATGCTGACATTTCCTGGTGGTGGAAAGGCTGGAGAGGAGACAGAGTGCAGTCGAGATCCGTCCCCTGACCAATCGCGTGGCAGAAATCAGGCGAGGCAGCCAATCAACGGACACCACCTTCTCCTAATTACCTCATTCATGAGAAAGACACACACACACACACACACACACTGCAGCAAAACACAGGCAAAACTACAAATGACCCACAGGATCATAACAAACATGCAGATATGGAGGGAGGGTGCCAACTGAGATTATTGACCAATGGCAAGCTTATTAAAATTGCCTGGCTCTGTCTCTGTGCCAGAGGGTTAAACTGTTCATCAGGAATGGTTGAAAAGTCTTCCTTCTGTTACTGGTAACTGCTGCAAAAGCTGAGCTCGCCACCTGCAGCTTGGAAAAAATGACTTTGGATAACTTAGACAGAATGTCATCATCCTGAGACAACCTGCCGAAGCCTCAGATGTGCAGCAGGAGGTCAGACCGGTTCATAGACCTCCAGCCACTGAGGGTAGGTATTTGTGCATAATGCATAGAGAAGATAAGGGGGGATGTGGTTTAAACGATTCCCTCAGTTAGTGTTAAAACCAGCCCACAGAAATAAGTCGGCTCCAGTTTAATTTAAGTGTCCTGATAAGCCTCGACAATAGCAGCTCCCTGGGCCACACCTGAATGGAACACAGCCTTTAATTACTTACATTAATTGCTTTCCCTGCTGTGAAATATCAAACGGCTTATTACCCGCATTAAAACCCAATTCATGAATGATATTTGAGTCAGTTTCAGTTGCAACGGATCAGATGAGAGACAGACTCGGTGTCATCCAGAAAACAAAGCTGGAGCCGAGAGTGAATAATGAAGCAGCTGATTGCGCTCTTCAACAGCGGTCGCAGTAATTATATTTCCTGATTCAGCTGATGCCTACATTCACATCAGACTGCTTTATTACATCAGACAACATTTCTATCAGCCCACAGCGTTTAGTCACTAATTTACTTCCAATGGACCAACTCCCAAAGACAGTTTAACACTTCAGGAGCTCATTTCTGCTTCACATACTGACCTCATCCAAACAAACTATAAAAGCTGATGAATTGTAAACTCTTGTCAGACAATTGCAGCACAAATATATTTTAAAATGGCACTCACTGAGTCCATTATACTTTGTTTTTTATTATAAAGGTTTACAGTGAAAACTTGTGATATACCAACATTTGTCGAAAAACAAAATATTAAAGCAAATTTTTCATTAATCTTAAAGACGTTCACAACAAAACCTCATTATTATCTACCGCTGTCTCAAACCAAGGAGGAAATAAAAGCTGATTAAATCTGATGATGTCACAAAGCTGCTGTCTTCACAAATAGTAGTGTGTGATAACCACCTAAGCCACTGACAACATCCAGATCTCTTCTCGTGATTATGTGAGTCATAATTATGAGATACGGAAATCATAATTACAAGATAAGGCCTGCAGTTTTTTCTTTTTAGGTAAATGCACTTCCACGGCTGCGCTGGGTCACACCAGGGATTGCAGGGAGCGATGTGTTTAGTGATGTGTTGCTTCTTGGCACATTGTGGGAATTTCCTGAGTTGATAAAACTTCTTCAGTTGCCTTTCATAGATTGAAAAACGTGATGTTTTGCAGCACATTTCAGAGAGACCGCACTGCTGTGTGTCCCAAAGTCGGAAAAACTAAATTAGCTAAAAGGTAAACAGGCTCTTCAGTTGCTTGACTATATATTGTGTTAATGTATAATTAAAATACTTAAGCTAGTTTAACATGTGGTTGCTGTACAAGTGTCATGAACTCACTTGACAGACAGGTGGACACAAATGCTGGACACAGAACAGTTCAGGCAAAAGGCAGGTTTAATGACAGGCAGGGTTCGGTACACAGGTAGACAGTCACTCAGGCAAACGTATCCAAAACGTCAGGCAAGAGGCAAGGTCCAATAAGC